GAATTATACCTTTGTAACCCCCAATAAATTAATGGCTCTAGGGTACAGGCAATGAATATCAATGGCTGCTATCATGTCAAAAGGAGGTATAAAGAGACATTATCATCTGATGACAAAACACCTATACTCTTGCTGAAGAGATCAAGCCTCTTGATTTGGCTGTTTGAAACATTGTGAGCTGCATTTTGAATATGTAATCAGCAAACCCAGACTGTGGGAAATTCCACAGGTTCTTCAACAAGAAATTTTAAGAACAGGAAAGGGATGGAAGGAGAAAATGTAGGTTAAAGAGATTTAAATAACACCAAATTAAAAAATAGGCAGGTCTATGGCCATGCCACCCTCAACACACCCCATCTTGTCGATCTTGGAAGCTACTTGGATGGGAGACCACCTGGAATACCGGGTGCTGTAGGCTTAAAAAAAAAGGCGGGGGCAGGATTAGGCTCTAATATCTGAGGTGCATATTTAGGTGCTGAGGCAATGAAGAAATCCGGAAAAGTGACTGATATAGAAGTTGGAATGGTGGTTGATTTGGGGGAGAGGGAAGAAGCTGTGAATGGACAGAATACATGTTGGGAAGTTTTTTGGGTGACTGGTAGTGTTCTATTTTTTTTTGGCTTAGGTGGCGGTTGCAGTTAGTAGGGGGGTTACTTTGTAACACTTCATAAAGCTAGTGTGGTTTTTATATTTTAAAAAAATTTTTTGACCCCCTCCACCCCTTTCTCAATCTCTGGCAAACACTAATCTGTTTTCTATATTTATAAACTTTTTCTTCCCCCGCTTTTTAATTCCCTCCTGCCACTTCCACCGCTGACCTATGGATGTTGCCATTTCCCCTTAAGAATTGGATCTCTGAAGGCGGGGTGTCCTCTCCACGGACACCCGGGGCTTGGTGCACCTAGGGTATGGTCCATGGCTCCACTTGGGGTGCAAACTCAGGACCTTCTGCGTGTAAAGCACGCGTGCTAACCACTACACTGTGGAGCCACCTGAACTTTTTTTTTTAGATCCCACATATACTTAAGATCATATAGTATTTGTCTTTGATTGACTTATTTCACTTAGCATATGCCCTCAAGGTCAGCCATGTTTTTGCGGATGGCAAGATTTCATTCTTTTTTATGGCTGCATATGTATTTTGTTTTATTTTACGATATAAATGTTACAACGAACCTACTCAATGAAGAGTCTAAAAATACTGGAAGCTCTCTTATTCCCCAGCTGTTCCTTTACCAGCAAAATGTTTTCAGGACTGTTTTAGGCCATACAATGTAATGTCCCAAGTAAAGCTTAGAGTCATCTTGTTAAAGATGTGTTCAAGTAGAAGTTTTCTTTTTTTATTAATGAAATATTTGGGGGTATACCAAAAAAGTACAGAGAATAACAAGAACACTTGCAGATCCACCATTAATGCCCCCTGTATACCCTTTCTCAATTTCATTCTTCTCCCTTCCCTTTGCAGAGATAACGACTATCTTGAATTTCATGTTTATCATTCCCATTAATGATTTTATGCTTTTCCCTATAGAAGTTCTCCCTTCTGAGGGTTCAATCAAGAGTATATGCAACTAATATACTTTTTCCTCATGTCATTATTATTGGAAATAGCTGGTAATTGTTAAAAAGTAGATTTTTATTAGAATATACCTTACCTTCCCATTTGAATTATGGTCTTTGGTTCAGCTCTAAGAAGCACTAGTCTAAGCACTGTTGCTGCTGTTTCCTAAAAATAAATTGTCAGCATTCACTTTGTAGAAGATTGTAGTGTTTTTCATTATTCCTCTCCTATACTTACCTATGCTCTGATTAGTTTATCAAGGGACGACTGTTTACTAGAACTAATAGGTGGTTGGTTATTCATAATTCATAGTAAGAGGCAAGTTATCATGAAATATTCAAATGAATCTGAAGGAAAATATTAAAATTACATAAATCTATATACACTGTGTATATACATATAAGTGTGCAAATAAAAGTTGCACTAGAGAATTGGCCTTATTTTTACAGTCACTTATATGTGGCTTCAAGGCTGGGAAGTACTATCTAATCAAATATCTTTTCAGTGACCTGCAGTCACTGAAACTATAAATAAAATATTAATGGATTTAAAGTATTCAGCTCTTATTCTCTGTATACCATAAGCCCCTTTTTTAAGATAAAAATTTTATTCACTATTATTTACTGGTCTCTTTCTATAAAGCAAATAATTGCTAAGATCTCTTATACCTGTTTCTTATAGAGCTCATTCTTTTGCTAAAATTTGCAAGGTGTTAAAATTATCCAGAATACCTTAAATATAGTTAACTGTACAGAATCCCATTAATTTACTTTAGAAGTGTGAAAGGAACCTGAAAGTTACCTAAGAAGCCTTGAATAGCCATATTCCTAATTAACTTTTCCATTTTCATAAAATGACACTTGAAATAAAAACTTTTTGAGAGGTTAAAGCTTATTATTAGTAGTAGAGAATAAAACTTGAAATTCTTAGTATTGCCTGGAAAATCCAGGCAAAATTCTCTAGGAAAAGAATTCCTAAGAAACATGAAAAATTAAGGGAATACACAAACTTTCAGTTACTCTATTATCATCACTGGAACATATTCCCCTAGCTTTCCCCAAGTGTCACTTTTAGAGTATTCAGTGAAATCGTAGCAAAATTTGAAACAAAGAAAATGGCAACATGAGGCAATAAAATGAGTGATGAACTGGGCTCTAGCTCTGTTTTTGGAATTAAAGTGCTGCGCAACTTCAGAAAGAGATTGTTGGGATCTGTTTCTTGGTATGAAGAATGAAGGAATTGGATCTGACTTCTAGGATCCTGTCTAGCTCTAGGACCCTATAATAGCAGTTGATTTGATCTCATGATTAAGCCCTGGTAGGTACTAATACTTTTCTAATGAATATAAAATATTTGTGACATCAATATATAGCATCGAGGAAAGACAGATAGAACTGTCCTTTAAAACACCTTGTCATCCCTTTTCTTCTCCCTGGTCAGCTTTCTGCATAGCTGTTGTTCTAAACCTTTAATCCTTCCCTCTAACTGCATACTGCTCCACCCTCTCCCACTTTTTTATCTTCCTGCATGCTTCATCAAGAGAGGCCGTTGGGCTTATGAATTCCTTCAACTTTCTTTCTCTCTCCCTTCTTAATTAAATGTTTATTGAGAAGCTGCTATGTAAAGACAAGATGAAGACAGCCCCTATCCAGAAGGAGTCTCACTGCAGAGATAGAGAAGTAAAAGAAGATTCTAATTCAGTCTGGTAAGTAGTTTGGTAAACTGATGGAAATTAGCCTTGGCATAGAGAAGACTTCGAAGAGGAATTGAGGAAAGTCTGAAAGCTCAAAAGAGGCTATACTGCTAAAAAGTGGAGATGAGTGGGTTCCAGGGAGAGGGAAAAAAAGATGAAAAGGGAGACCTCCTTGGTGAGACTGGAGAATAGCATGAAGTTCAGGATAGCTGGAAGAGAAGAAGATGATAATAGAAAAGCCCTACTAAAAGCCTTAGGAGGGCCTTGAGTGCCAGGATAAGTAGTATGGCTTTTCTCTGAATGTAATCAGGTGCTACCAAATGATTTTAAGCAGGGGAGTGACATGATCATATTTGCTTTTAGGAACATTTACTTGAGCAGCAGTAATTGAGAGGGAACTGGTTTTGAGAGAGAAGAGGCTGAAGTCTGGTAGATCAGTTAGGAGGCACTTTCAATAATCCCTGTGACAAGTAATGAGGGCCTAGATGACAACACGGTTCAGAAACAAGGAGATGGAGTCAAGACGTATTCAGGAGATAGAACTAATAGAACTTGGTGACCAAGAATAAATGTGAAGGTGAATAAGAGGGAAAAATTGAAGTTGACTCCTAGTTTCCAGTTTCAATGGCTTAGGAGGGTTCCTAAGCAAGACTAGAAATACATGGGGAGGAATCAGTTAGGAAAGAATTAATTTAGCTCTGGATATGATATGTTTAAACTTCTATTAGACAATCTAACTGTGGAGAAAGTTATTTTGGAAGTGGATTTGGCAGTGACGAAAGTAAAGGTGTCCATAGGTGTGAATGAATGTGTCAAATTCAAAGAGGACTGAAGTTAGAACCCTGAGAAACACAGCATTTAAAGGATTGGAAAAGAGGAGAGCCTCAGAAGGATACCAAGTTTTGTAGCTCTATATTCACACCTCTCCTTTCCCCAAGAGAAAGAGGGCATTCTTTGAATCCAAGGCTCACATCTCCACTGCTACATTGGATTTCATCCCTTCGTGCATCTTTAGGTCTTGCTCCACCAACAGACTCCTCCCCTCTTATATCTCCAACCTCATCTTCCCATTAGCCTACATACCTGTGAAAGTTTTCTCTGTATTAAAAAAATGAGGCCCTTTCTAGACCATGCTTCTTTTAGCTTTCAATGTATCTCATTCCCTTTGTAAATTCTTGAAAGAACAGTCTAACTTAACTCTCCCTTCTTTCTCATCTCCCATCCACCTGGCCTAAAGCAATCTGCCTTCTGCCTCTACCACGTCTTCCAAACTGCTAAATGTAAGGTTACCAATCATCTGCTAATTGTTAAGTCCAATGAGCATCTTTTAGATCTTGTTCAACTTCTTTGGGACATAAAACATTCTTTTAACTTTCTTCTTTCGGCTTTCAGGACACCACTGCTGGTAGATGGTGACCCGCCTCCCTATTATGTTCTTAAACAGTGCTTTGCCTTTTGGTCCTCTTCTCACTTTCTATACTTTTCTTGGGCAATCTTACTTCTATTATCTTCAACTGTTAGCCCTGATCCTCTGAGTGCTACCTATTGGACATTTTTATCACTTAAAGCTTTTGGGAATTGGTGGAGGAACAAATGCACAAATCGACTGGCCATTTCCAACAGGCAACAAAATTCAACCTGTCCCAAACTTTTCCTCCCCTGCATTTCCTCTGACTCCCTCCTCCAGGATTCTGCTCCTCCACATAGTTTCTATCTTGTTTAATACTACTTAACAAAAAATTGTCAAATTATACAATTATAATTATATAATTATACCTTAAACATGTGCAATGTTACATGTCAATTATATCTCAATAAAGCTGGGGGGGTGGGGGAGAAAGAATTAAGAATCATCCTAGGTGTGATCACTGTCCCTTATATCACATATTCAGTGGGTCACTAACTCCTTAGGATTAGTTTTACGAAGTCTCTATTAGGATCTGCCCCATCCTTTGAATCTGTACTGTTATTGCCTTAGTTCAGGCCCTTACATCTTCTACATAAACTGTAACAGTATCATCCTAACTGGTTCTCTCCCCTCCAATCCACCTTCTAGATTGTAACGAAACCAAATTTTCCAGAAGACGAATCAGATCATGCTATTCTTGTTTGCTTCCCAGTTTCTCTAGGATAACAAACTTAATATAGGACCCTTCATTAACTATTCTCTGCCCACTTCTCTGACCTCATCTTTAGCCTCTACATGCTATGGCTCTGTGACTGAGGTTCTTGAGGTTCCCCAAACACACCATTCTGTTTCCTCTGCACGGAGTCCTCATTACTCTTTTTGTGCCTGGCTCAGAACAACTCTTATAAGGCTTCTAAGCTAAGCATCCTAACATCACCTCCTCTGTAGCCAGCAAGTAGCCACTCATTCTGAATACTACGGGGGCAATCTCGACCTACTGCCCTTGAAATACTTTTTACACTGTAGATCATTGTATATAGCCATTGGAAATAAAGGGACATCGAGCTCATAAAGCGACATTTCCAGGTGCTGTCTTCCCTTCATTGCTGCATCCCCCCATACCTTCACTCAGGGATTATACAACTAACACATGCTCAATAAATGTGTGATGAACTGGCGGTCATTTCACCGCAGGGGAGAGAAAATCTTTAAGGGGGTCTCAAATTGGACAAGACTGCTAATCGTCGCCAAAAGGGTCGCGGGCAGCACCCACCCTAACCCCTAGGCGGCGCAAGTGCGGCTCCGCTGCTCTGCAGCTGGAGTGGCTCGCGCCCCGGGCTCACCGCCTCGCAGGCAAAAAAGCGGGAGCCCGGCCTCTCGTCGCGACTCACTGCCTGTTCTGGTCCGCCCCGCAGCGCCGCGTCCGGAGGGGCGGGCTCGGCAGGCGCCACCCTTGAAGAGGAGCACGCGTAAAGGCGGCGGTGCCGACCCAAGGGTACCTGATAGGAGCCACCGGTCAAGGCCAGATCCGCAAGGACCACTCGGCCATTCGCAATGCAGCTGTAGGTGATCGTCATAGTAGGCGGGCCAGTGAATGAAGGGTTCCCGCCGGACCTAACCGCCCGCGACAGCCTGTGGGCGGTCACTAGGGCGGGGCCCCGGGAGAGGGCGGTGCCTGCGCAGGCGCGAGGAGCGATTGAGTGGCAGGGAGGGAGGCGTGGTCATCTTGCCTGGGCTGAGCTTGTGCTGAGACGTGGTGCGAGGAGGGGCGCGAGGTCTCCGGTAAAACTGGCTTTAAGAGTCAATTACTTCACAGTCCTTACCTACATCTAACTCATTCACAATCTAAAATGTAAAATGAAATCAAAATTTTATTTGATTTCAAATAAAATTTATTAATTAATGTAAGCATTTGTTGAACTCCCACAATGTGCTGTCTTAGATTAACAGGCATGCAAAATTGTAAGCCCCAGACCCTCGCTTTGAGAAGTTCATATTCTAGCGAAGATAAATTTCAGTTATATACTGTGATGGAAGAGGAACTAAGTTGCAGAAGCTGGAGTGGAGGCAGCTAATCCTTGGTAGAGGGGACGAAGCTTTCAAAGTCACTGTCCAACTTGGAGAATGGGTTGGAATTACCAAAGGGAAGAAAATATAGGACAGTCTAAGCAAAGAGAACGCTCTTAAAGGCTTGAAGGGAGGTAGGTGGTTTTAGGGAATGGATGTAAGTAGATGTGGCAGAGGAAAGGTACATAGTAGAGTGGACAGATGAGAGTGGTAGAATGACTTTTGTTATCCTAGTCCTTGAGTCCCTTGACAAGAATTTTAAAAAGTATAAGCTTAAGGTAAGCTTATATATTTTCATTAGCAAGGAGTTGTGGAAGAGTGAAAAGTCAGACAAACTCGTATTCAGATATAGACGTTGCCATTCACTTTGTGCCTTTAATGTAGCTTAACCTGAGACTCAGTTTCCTGATCTATAAAATGGGAATAATGGTCAAATTTAAATTAAGTAATTGTGCAAAATACTTACCATACAGTAGATATGTAATTGCAATTCTTATTGTGATAAATACATTAATGAAAATTACTTTCTTGCTCCCAGTGGTATAACTTTAAAGGAAAAACAATCACTGCCCTTCAGGGATGACTGGCAGGAGGTGAAGACAGGTAGTCAGTTGAGTTTATATTAACCTAATGCGATCAAATTGGATTTGACAATCAGCAAAACTGGTCTGGACTCTACTCTTGAGAAAAATGCCTTGTTGAATCGTATATCCTTCATATATAAAGGAAATCTTGAATCAATGTGTCTTATCAGCCTAGAGATAATGCCTTGTGTTACAGGTGGGGTGACTGAATTAAAAGCTGTGCTTACATTCCTTATATTTGGGAAAATTAAATAAGTTAATTTTGAGGTAATGGGTTGATATATTGTTGCTCACAGTAGAAATAAGCTGAATAAGCTTGGCACATTGCAGTGCCCCTTCCGTTTAGTAAATAGTGGAGCCGAAAGTGATTGGGAAATGATATCATGAGCTGTAGTAATGACAACAAGTATCTGATAGTTGGAGAGGGATATATAGGACCTCCCTTGTCTCAGTTTCACCTGGTCATTAAAACAGTCCTGTGTAGTGGATTCACTTTGCACAATCCACAAATTCAGGCTTACGGCAATATAAAACGTAATTTATAACAGAACTCTTTCTTTAAGCCCTGTTTTACCTGGTATCTGAGGATTAATCTAGTCAATGTCAGGCTTCCTTGGTTAACTCAGGAATTCTCCCTTTTTTCTACATGGGGTGGCATCTATGTGTGTGGGGAACTTGGTGGAGGGGGAGATCTTATTTGTGACCTACATCTCTAGGGTGGCATCCACTGCTAATGTTTGTTTTTTATCTGTCTCTGATCATCAATTCACATACTCTCTACTTAGAATTTCAAAGCTCCTTTAGGCCCTCTGGTTTTCTCAGCCATTTTTGTGGCCCTCTTAGGGCTGAGGAAAACTTTTTGCTGTTTCCTCATGCCATCCTGAGATATTGGGAGCCTTGAGAGGCTGTCTCCAGTCTCTGGTCAACAGTCTATGCTGTCATCCTCCTGTTGTGCTGTCACTTTGTTGTCTTGTGGGGAGCAGCTCATAGACCTTACCTCACCTGGGAAGGAAGCCCTTGGATCTGCAATTTACTGAGGGTCTTTATTATCATCACAGCAGTCCATCACTCATCACCTCCCAGTGGGGAGGGACTCTGTGGCTAATTGGATTGCTTCCTCCTGACTCTCTGCCCTCCTCCTGCCTCTGGAAACTCCAGCAAGTTGAGTTGGGAACCTCCTATCACCCCAGGCATTCTTCCTAATTTATGGCATTAATGTTGGCTTCTGCTGTCCCAAACCTTTTCTTTCCATATACTCTCTCTTCAGAGAGTTTCCAAAATCTATTTTGAACCATTAAAGGATGAGAGTCTTTTTTTTTTCTTTCCCTGCTCTTCTTCTGTCCCTCCTCTTTGTCCTCCATTTTCTTTGTTCTCTATTTTATGCAAAAGGAATAACTGAAAGAAAGTAAAACCCACAGCGGGTAATATAAAACATCACAGATATTTCCATCTTTCCCTTGATAGTTTGACAAAACCTCGAGGACAGAGCAGAAAGAGTGGTGAGGAGCTGGATCCCTGGGAAGGTGAAATGGGACATTTCATCATTGTCCATTTCTTTTAAAGCAAGCTTTTAGACCTCATGACTACTTTCATTCACTAGCAGATCTGTCATTGCTTTTTAGAGATTTGCTTCTTAGAAGGAAAAGTCACCAATTTATGGATCATCCACTTTCTCAGGCCTCTAGAGAGTTTGTAAATATTCCATAAGCTGGAGACTTTCAAGCATTCAGTAATTCAGGATGCTTTTAATTAAGTATTGACATTCTCCTATAAATAAGTAAAAGTTCTCTTATTCTTGTTCTTCAAAATGAAAATATTTTTATAGTTTTTTTCTTTTCTTCTTTTTAATTCCCCATCCCCCTCCACCCTTGACCTACAGATGTCGCCGGCTCCTCTTAAGAACTGGATCTCTGAAGGTGGGGCATCTCCTCCCACATGCTCAGGGTGCACTCCCAGGGCCTGGTGCACTCTGGGGCCCTGGCACCGCCCTGGCACCGCCCTGGCACCGCCCACCCCTGCCCCCCACCCCCGCCGGGCCTGAACCCAGGACCTTCTGCGTGTAAAGCAGATGTGTTAACCACTACTCTATGGAACCACCCCAGTTTTTTTCTTATAGTGTGTGATCACTGTAGAAATTCAAACAATATACCAGTCAAGGCCCCTCTATTTTTACTATCCCATAAAAATAACCACTGCAATAATCTAATTTATATTTGCCTTTTCTTTTTAATGTCTTTTTGTATTTAACATTGATGAACACATGCATACACATTTTTCCGAAACCTTTTTTTTTGTTTTTTAAATTTATAATATGTTGTTTTCTTTGGTGATACGTTTTTCAAATATTTCCTCTGAGGCTTATCATGTTCTTTTGTTTTTGGTATCTATTCTTTTGCAGACATATTTGCTGCTTACCTAGTTGACCATGTGAGTATTTTTTATTATAATGTTGGACCTTAGGGTCATTTTAGGCAAGGCTTCCTTTACTAGCCCCATATAACAATTATCCCTTATTTTTCTTCTATTACTTTTGTTTGTTTGCTTTAATGTTTAAATCGTTAATCCACCTGAAGTTTGTTTTTGTGTCTCTCGTGAGGTAGGAATTTGTGTTTTCTGCAGTGTATAGCCAGTAGTTTCATACAATTTATTCACTGTCCTTTCCTCACTAATTTGAAACGCCACTTTTACCATAGACTAAATTATCCTCTATACATGTAAATTGGATTTTAGAGTTGATTTATATGCCTGTTTCTGAGCTGCTATCAGATTCAATAACAGTAGCTCAAATTGCTTTAAATTTAACAAATTGGAGAGAATTAATATATTTAGAATATTGAGTCTTTTCATCCAGGAATGTAGGTTGTCTTTCTGGTCATTCTTTATTATGTCTTCCTGTAAAAGCTCTATAAGTTTCTTCATAAAGGCTTGACAAAGTTTTAAATATATTTTTTTCTCTGATATTTTGCCTGCCTTTGTTAATGGAATTTTTTCCCCATTATGTTTTCAAACTGGCCGTTTTTGGCATGTAGAAAATCATTAGCTATGTTTAATTTATTTTGTACATAGCCCTTGCTCCATTATATTGTAAACTTCTTAAGGCCAGGAGTTTCACAGAGCACATTGTGCTTTGCTCACTGAGAGCATGATGTAGGATACTATTGTTGAATATCGTACTAAGCTTTTCCATTATACTCAGCAGCCAAGTGGAGAATAACCTCAGGTAGCCATGATATTTGTGGAAACTGGGTAATGATTGAGGGTAGTGTCGTGGGAAGCCAAACAGACCTGGACTTAAATGCTGACCTTGCCACTTTCTAGTTGAGTAATCTTGCCATCTCTGAACCTCAGTTTCTTCCTTAGGCTAACTTCTGAACCTAATTCATAAAATAAACTAACATACATAAAGCATATTGTGACTGGCTCTCAGTAGATGTTCCATAATGCATGGCTGTTAATATCATTATGAGTCCCTATTGTCATGTAACCCAATATCTCCAATAAGATGCACATTTAAGAAAGCACAGCCTGGCCTATATGAGGTATCTCATTACGGATTCAGTGAACATATTTGAATCATCATTCAAGGCACATGTAACAGTAATTTTCTAAAATCCTTCCTTTTTGAGAAATGTGTTATATATATTGGTTTCCTCTCTTTAACTCGTATGGTTCCTGAAAGTAGAGGCCAAGTATTACCAATCTTTTTATCTCCATCTTCTTACACAGTGATGGACACAATTTAGGTGGCTGCATTTTATTTTTATTTATTCTTTTCCTCAAGGAATTTTATTTATTTTTTATTTTTTTTATTATGGTGATATTAGTTAACAAAATCCAGTAAGTTTCAGGTATACAATTTAAGTAAGGCATATATATATATGCTTACTTAAATTGTAATATATATATATATATGCCTTACTTAAATTGTATACCTGAAACTTACTGGATTTTGTTAACTAATATCACCATAATAAAAAAAATAAAAAATAAATAAAATTCCTT